TATATATATATATATATACATTTTTCAATTAATTCTGCTTTTTGTATAATCAACTTTGTGTACGCAACTCAACTTATTCGCTTGTCACGTACTAGAAATGTTCAACTTTGCCCAACTTTTGCTGCGACATTGCGATACTTGGAAAAATTATGGATGCGTTCGGGGAGACACTATTCGCGCTATGGACGCAAACGCTACCAACGCTTTTCTTGGAGCCAATAGCGCGATAGCGTTAACAAGTTTCATGATTCGATTCTAGTATAGTGTTGATAGCATTTAACCAAAGAGATATTCATCGAGATTAATTTAAAAGTTAATGTAGAAGATTCTGTTTTCAAACTTTTCCCTATAATTAAAATTTTTAAGGTTTTGTAAAGTATTTGTAACGTTAAATTTTTTATTTTCTCGTTGTGAATAACAACAGAACGCAATTGTAATCTCTATGATAGCTTGCCGAAGTGAACAATGTAGAAATTAGATCAAAAAATTAATATAGTTACATTAAGTAAATTAATCAGATAAAATGAAGAACCCTTGAGCATCCATTGTCGATTTTAGAAGAAGAAATATATTTACATCTAATAAGGATCTTAAGCATCTGCAGCGGAATACCCTGCCGCGTACCGTAATAGTAACTTTTTTCCGTACACACGAATTAAAAATTGCAAGTAACAAGATATCTCTAACTTTCACATTTATAATGAAATCAAATACATAAGTTGCACTTCGCAGAAACTTTGGAAAGTTAAAGATGATACACAAGTAAGAATTACGTTCACTCCAGCCTAATGGCAAGTCATCAGCAGAGATTAAAATTGAGATTGCATTTATTATGATAAAATTTGAAATTCACACATTACGTACGTATGTTTACTCTACAAAATTTTAAGAGAGAAAAGTTTGGTGATACTTGAGAACAAAATCCCCTTAAATATTAATCTAACTTTGACGAATGTTAAATGCTACTAACGCTATGCTTGGATCTGTAAACGCTAACGTTAGCAATACATTACCTCGGAAGAAATAGCATTGATAGCGCGTAGTTGTGATGTAACACGCTATCATTAGTGATGTCATGATTGTGTTTGTTAGCACTATCTGCAGCTCCGCGAACAATTTGTAGCGCTAAATAGCGCGAATAGCGACTCCCCGAACGCATCTTATATAATATATGCTTATTGGACTGTGTTCGGAAATTTATTCGGGTGCACCCATGTATTATTTATCTTCGTTTAACATTTGGTGAACAACAAGAATAAAATGATATATAAATACACTTGTGAAGACAACCTGGATGTCGCGCGTCCCGCATCGCGCTGGTATGCAAGAGCCATTAGAACGGAATCAGACTACATTAAAGAATGAGATTGAAGATTGAAAGATTGAAGTTTGACCAAAACAACCAAAATTTCTTTGTCTTCATTGATAAAATTTCAATCTTTAATCTTTAATCTCAATACATTCAATACATAGTCTGATTCTGGTCTTAGTTTTGATCGATGAAATTGGCCAATCAGCCTTAGTCGTACAAATTGGCTATTGGTTAACTTCACTGATAAGTGAATTTCGGTAGATAAACTATTGATTAGGGCTGCCGCACACAAAATTCCGTAACAGTATACGTAAGATATAAATTTAAGCCGATGAGTCAATCAGGATATTGCTTTAAATTAATCTAACAGAAATGGAAATAACAGTAAACTTATTCATAATCTCGTAATAAGGTGAATTTCAACAGGTTAAAACTCGTCTTATGGCTGCTATTTTTATTTCCGTTAGAGTAGATCGAAAGCAATCTTAACAGCACAAACGTCGATATGTCGACTGTAAGTTGATTTTGCTAAGTCAGGGTTTTAGAGTCGATTGTAAGTCGACTTTGTACAGACATCCTTCCAATGTCGATCTTAGGACGTCTAGTGCGATTTACGTTCACAAAGCTTAAATATGGAATCATTTCTTGTTGTTTAACTATAGTTAAACAAGGATGAATTCTGTTGATGAGCGTTGTGGGCATGAATCGGATTACAGCCTAGAATAGTTGACTTAAAGTCCGCTTATAGTCGTCTTTAGTGGGACATTATGACTTAGAATCTCCAAATCGTTTAAAGTCGACTTATGGACGTCCATTTTTCAGACATCTAGAAGCTATAGTCGACTCAGAATTGATTTAGAGTCTTTGTGCTGTTAGGGAATATCCTGATTGGTTCATCGGCTTAAGTTCACGCTTTGAGGTTACTGTTACAGAAATTTGTGTGACAGTCCTTATTACTGACTCATTGTAGAATCAGCGTAACAGTACATTGAGATCTATGTACTCTAAACGGAAATAAAAATAGCAGTAAACTTATCCATTAGAGTTTCAATTGGTTGAAATTCGCTTCATTATTAGATTATTATGGAATAAGTTTATCGTTATTTTCATTTCCGTTAGATTACATAATCTAAGATTACATAATCTAATAAAGCAGTATCCTGATTGATTTATGGGCTTAAATTTACACCTTACGCATACTGTTACAGAATTTTGTGTGCAGTAGCCTTAGATGATATTCTGCACTAACCGCTACGTAAACGAATGCACCCAACAGTATTGGTATATTCTTCTATATTATCCAATGAGACGTTTAGATCTAAAAGATTACACCAATACGTAACGAGCATTCACTCACTGTTGAATCCGCTGAATGCCCAATGGTTGGACATTCATAGAAAACATTTATATGGGTACACACATATATGCTGTATGCATAATACATATAGTGACGTATACGTGTGCGGTTAGTTAGTATGCTCGCGCTTGCGTTGTTACAGGTGATTATTCGGTCGAATCCGTCGAAGACGGAGCCGAACGCAAAGGTCATTTTATACCTGCCTATATCGATAATGTCGATATTTCCAAGTCTTATGGTCGAGCATTAATCTTTTACAATTTACGTAGATGTGTCTGACCATTTTAATCGCGTGCGAGTCGCAGTGAAGAGCGGCACGTCACATTTTAGAGATTTCGAGTCACCTCAAGCAATCTCAAGTCAACCTCGAGATATCTTTGATTGGAGGGGGAATTGACGTGCGTGCGTGCGTATGTATATGCGTGCGAATCTCTTTCACCTGTATAGTGTTATTTCATACGTGCTTGTGTATACATCACCGTAGTACCCTCGTCGCGTCGCGTCATTTGGCGGCGAACGCGCGGTAAGGGAAGGAAGATTGTAGGTTATGAAAAAATCGTGCAAGCACTGTACAAGCGTGAGTAACATATCGACGGTGTGTCTGCCGAAGACGAATCGTAATCGCGCGACGAGTCTCGGGGACGACAGTCTTTTGAACCTCGACATGAAGGAGCAGGATATACCCGAGTATCTAGAGGGTTGCGGATTATCGGCTTGTACGGCTAGCAACGAGATATCCGAGGACGTGGAGCTTCAACTGATGCATGACAAAAAGTTCTCCACTATGTCTTCCTTCGGAAGTAGCAGCAGTAGCAGTCTGGTCGACTCCAAGAAAATTGTTATGATCAAACATCCAGACTCAAACAAGCTGAAACCCGCTGGTAAGAAGACCAAGCCGATCCAGGCGGAGTTGGATGTGGGTAAGGAGTTCATCCGATGTAGGGA